ACAATGTAACTCCAAGTCAATCACACTTCTGTGAAATCAAACTGTCCACTTAGGTGGCAACACTGATTGACAATCAATTTCACATGCTGTTGTGCAAATGGAATAGACAACAGGTGGAAAGCATAGGCAGTTAGCAAGACATCCCCAATAAAGGAGTGGTTCTGCAGGTGGTGACCACAGACCACTTCTCAGTTCCTATGCTTTCTGGCTGATGGTTTGGTCACTTTTGAATGCTGGCGGTGCTTTCACTCTAGTGGTAGCATGAGACGGAGTCTACAACCCATACAAGTGGCTCAGGTAGTGCAGCTCATCCAGGATGGCACATCAATGCGAGCTGTGGAAAGAAGGCTTGCTGTGTCTGTCAGTGTAGTGTCCAGAGCATGGAGGCGCTACCAGGAGACAGGCCAGTACATCAGGAGACGTGGAGGAGGCCGTAGGAGGGCAACAACCCAGCATCAGGACCGCTGCCTCCGCCTTTGTGCAAGTAGGGACAGGAGGAGCACTGCCAGAGCCCTGCAAAATGACCTCCAGCGGGCCACAAATGTGCATGTGGCTGCTCAAACGGTCAGAAACAGACTCCATGAGGGTGGTATGAGGGCCCGACGTCCACAGGTGGGGGGGTGCTTACAGCCCAACACCGTGCAGGACATTTGGCATTTGCCAGTGAACACCAAGATTGGCAAATTCGCCACTGGCACCCTGTGCTCTTCACAGCTGAAAGCAGGTTCACACTAAGCACATGTGACAGACGTGACAGGGTCTGGAGACGCCGTGGAGAACGTTCTGCTGCCTGAAACATCCTCCAGCATGACTGGTTTGGCAGTGGGTCAGTAATGGTGTGGGGTGGCATTTCTTTAGGGGGCTGCACAGCCCTCCGTGTGTTCGCCAGAGGTAGCCTGACTGCCATTAGGTACCGAGATGAGATCCTCAGACCCCTTGTGAGACCATATGCTGCTGTGGTTGGCCCTGGGTTCCTCCTAATGCAAGACAATGCTGGACCTCATGTGGCTGGAGTGTGTCAGCAGTTCCTGCAAGACGAAGGCATTGATGCTATGGACTGGCCCACCCGTTCCCCAGACCTGAATCCAATTGAGCACACCTGGGACATCTTGTCTCGCTCCATCCACCAATGCCACGTTGCACCACAGACTGTCCAGGAGTTGCGGGATGCTTTAGTCCAGGTCTGGGAGGAGATCCCTCAGGAGACCATCTGCCACCTCATCAGGAGCATGCCCAGGCGTTGTAGGGAGGTCATACAGGCACGTGGAGGCCACACACACTACTGAGCCTCATTCTGACTTGTTTTAAGGACATTACATCACAGTTGGATCAGCCTGTAGTGTTTTTTTCCACTTTAATTTTGAGTGTAACTCCAAATCTAACCCTCCATGGGTTGCTAAATTTGATTTCCATTTATAATTTTGCATGATTTTGTTGTCAGCACATTCAACTATGTAATGAACAAAGTATTTAATAAGAATATTTCATTCATTCAGATCTAGGATGTCTTATTTTTGTGTTCCCTTTATTTTTTTGAGCAGTGTATTTAAAGAAACCTTTAGGTCTTAAAAATGGTAATACTGATAATAATGACTGCTGGAGATTGAAAAAGAGTCTTTATGGTTTGAAGCAATCAGGATATGAGTGGAATCAATGTATAGTTAAAGAATTGACTAAGATAGGCTTTGTGGCTGGCATGGCTGATCCGTGTTTGTTTAAAAGAGAAAATAATGCTGTAGTGTCATTGTTGCTATTGTTTACTGATGACATAGCATTAATCACCAAAACTGAACAAGAAACTACTAAAATAATCTCACTGTTAGAGAAGAAATTTAAAATAAAACAATTAGGAGAAATCAAACAGTATCTTGGTTTAAAGATGGATAGAACTAGGGGAGGATACAAGATCTCAAAAGCTGATAAAATTAACCAATTACTAAAAAGTTTTAAAATGGAACTTTGTAAGCTGGCTAACACACCAATGAGCCAGGAGTTTAGCCATAGTGATGTTCAAAGTCCTATTTTGATAAGAACATTTATCTTTGATTGGTAGTTTATCTTATCTCAGTAATTGGTCAAAGCCAGATATTGCATACTGTGTAAATCAATTAGCGAGATTCAACTGAAAGGCACTGGCAAGCTGCTAAACATGTGTTAAGATATCTGAAACAAACAATGCATTATGCATTGTATTTGGAGCCTAAAGATGAACTGAGTTTGACTGCATATGCTGATGCAAGTTTTGCTACAGACATAAATACACGAAAATCTACATCGGGTACTGCTGTATTATTGGGAAAAGCATTGATTGGATGGAGATCTATTAGACAGAAACATCTAAGTTTGTCAACAATGGAGGCTGAATTCTCATGTTTGTCTTTACTACGTAGAGATTTAGTTTTGGATAAACAATTACTAATTGACATGGGAATTGATGTAACAGATTCTATTGTTATTTACGAAGATAACCAATCAGCAATACAGATGGCTTCAAATATTGCTGTTAAAACAAGAACGAAACACACAGATTTAAGATATTTAAATGTGAGACAATGTGTGCAAAGTAAAATGATTACGCTAGAATACTGTATGTCAGAAAACAATATAGCAGATCATTTTACAAAGGCCCAAGGCTCTATAAAGCATAAGGCTTGCTGTGAAGATTATGGACTTAGAATGTAAGGTTGTATATATTGTCCTACCCAAAAGGGGAGAATGTTAGGAATATAAGTCACCTAACAGGTATTTGGGTTGGAAATATATAAACCAGGATAGACATTTTAATACTGTATCTTTAAGAGAATCCTAAAAGTGTAATTAGGTGTGGTTTCTCAAACGGCCATAAGATGGAGCCAGAAACCTGCTTTGTCTTAGTCTTAGTCTCAGAAGAGAGTGTGTCTGAGTGAGCCTCTGTTTCCTTCTGTTGGAGAGTTTTGCTG